CACAAGAAAAACTTCCCTCCTAAATTCTGTTAGGATTTTGGATAATTTTTGCACAGTAATAAGCACTGAGTTGCTCTTTAGGCTTCTCAAAAGGGAAAAGTTAACTCAAAGATTGTAAACTTAAGTATTCCAGCATGTTGCTGACTTAGGTGGATAGTCATACCTCAAAACAGTAGGTGAGAAAGGGCTTCCATTGTCCCAGGCTGTCAAATACTAATGACAGAAGAGCTCACTCACGTGCCAAAATTCACTTTTATCCTAGTTTTTCAGTGCTTTAATGTCTGTCACTTATATTTTAAAACTCATATTTACGAACACTACTCTAACTTCGGTGACACTGAATTGTGGGATTGAAGCTTTTTGCTTATTGTAGTATTTATTGCACTACTTAATTCAGTAAATATATAAAAGTGACTTCAATTTATTTTTATATTATTTTACATGTTTTTACGAACAGTCTTGTATGTGAAATTTACCTTGGTAACTGAGATGTCACTCTAAGGACCAATAAAGTCTCACTGAACAAGGAAAAAAAGAGAGAGAGAGAGATCCTGGCCCTAATAGAGTCAGATTCCAAAGTCCCCTAGCCCAGCCCACAGGCATTTTACCTGCCTGGGAACTTCAGTTCCTTTTCAGAGGTGGGTCTCCCTGTTCTTTATGTTGGCATGAAAACAATTAATAATTTAAATCCTGCCCATTAAAAAACCAGAAATAATGTATAAATATAATAGTGTAGTAATAAATTCAAAAGTCGATCCCGCTGGGCACTGTTCCCAGACTACCAGCTGAGCAGAAACACAAATAAGTAAAATAGAAGAAAAAATGCTATATAATGCAAATGGCTGCAATCTCATTGTTTCCTGCTACTCTTTACTGCAAATATATACCGTTGAAGTTACATTACGGATAAATAGGTTTTGTGGGCTAACCTGGAGACCTAATCACTGTTTTTGTAACATTTCTATGGGGAGAAAAGTGTATTCCATATTACAAACAGATGGGTAGCAAGCAAATTGGGGGTTGCATAATAGGTTTGTAAATTGGGAGCCTCCTGGGATTTTAACCTGTAGATGGATGTTTTGTATTCAGGGCTAGTGATAGATGAAAATCAGAGGCCTCTCAGAATCCCCCCTCCCCCTCAAGTCCTTGCTGTCCTTTCAACCTCGAGAGACTGTGTCTCTGGGCTGCTCATCCTGGCCCAGCCCTATCCTCCCCAACCCCTGCTGAGGCCCCAGGAAGCCAGGAGGAACCCTGAATGTCTTTACCCTTTCACACCTTATTAAGTGGGTAGTTAGGGTTCATAGGAGGCCTCGCAGCAGGGTGGCCAAGTGGGTGGCTCTGTAGGCAGACTTCTGTCACTTGTGGCTGTGTGACGTTGGCCTGTTATTGCCCTTCTCTGAGCCTCTGTTTCGTGCCTATAGAATGAGGTGGTTGGGAGGACTGACGGAGGGCCACCTGTAAGCGCGCAGACCAGAGCCTGGGATGGGGCAGTGCTCCCTCCTTGCACGTGCATGCTGAGCTAGTTACTCAGGGATATTTGAGTTTAGCCAGATTTCTGTGAACTCGGGAAGCAAACCTATACTATGAAAATACTTTCTGAACTCCAAACAGCAAACTTGGAAACAAGGGCCTGGAACCTTTCTGTTCAGGAGCTCAAGCCTGGATAGGTTTTGAACATACTTTTTCGTGAGCTGGGGGTGGGGGGGAGGGCGTGGTCCATGTACTTACATAGTTGAGCAGACAACATCAAAGTTGCTTATTGTTTTGAATAGATTAGGCTTTACAGCAGATTTCATAGAAACTAATAAGAACAAGCTTCTTAACTAGTTTTTTTCACTATAGTATTTCCACATACTGTGTTTTTCACCTAAGGAAAATGGTTTTGTTTTCTGTTTTTTTTTTTTTTTTTTAATTTTTGGTTTGGGTTTTGTTTTGCGTTCTTCAGACAGTCTTTTCTTTGCATTTGAGCAGGTTCAATTTCCTGATTTGCAAATAGGCGAGTGCCTACATATTGGCCTTATGGTGTAGGCATGAGATCAGCTGGAAATAAGGACTTGGAAAAAGAAAATAGTGATTAGACATCTTAGGGCTTTTGGGTAGACCCTCAGTAGAGGATGGGGTCGTAGCCGTATCCACAGAGGAAGGGAAGCAAATCTGTCGCTTGCTGTTCTCTCCAGAATGTGCTCATTCTAATCCGAATCCAATTTTCCTCTTGTCTGTGGCCTGAAGAAATTGAAATGAAGCCACTTAGATCAGCCGACCTGAGAGCACCTCACTGAGGATCAGCCTCACCGAGAGTTGTGTTCGACCATGAGATTTTAATTTCATTTGGACAAAGGCTTAAGTGTCTGTGCCACCTGACCATTGATTTTGTGATACATAGGAGTTAGAATGATAGCTTTCGGAAGGGATAATTTCGAAACAACTGCTTTTATTTTACTAAAATGTGGGGGCTATAAGATCTGCTCCCCCTCCTTAGGAAATTTGAATGTGTGGATAACATGCTGTCATGAAGACTTTATAATCTGCAATATTGGAGAAGTAATAAGATGCTGTTGTTGGTTGACCATCTGGTTGTACATTCTTGGTGTCACGGTTTGCTGTTTTATTTTTTTAAATTTATTTTTACTGGTGAGAAGCAAGAAATGGGAGTTTAGAAATTTCAGAGGTGTTTTAGAAGCAAGAAATTTATGTTTAGTTGCTTAACATGGTTAGATTTTGTTTCTACCTTGTACAAAATAGGAAGTAAAAGGTTCGCTATATAGGTTTTCTTTTTTTTTTCCCTAAAAGATAAACTGAAAACTTCTAATCGGCTCCCTCTCTGGCCCCAGATTTGAACTTTTAGCTTACATTAAAAACAGTCTCTTTATCATAAGTAGGAATTAAACATACATTAGAAGAAAACTTTAGAAAGAAAAATCACCCACAGAAAGGACCTATAGAGATTTCATATTTCATCCATCCATTCAAAAATATTTATTGAAACCCTAGTATTTGCATATCATGCTGCCAGACACTGAGGGATTTGCTGAAGAAATCTTAAAGACATTCTCCCTTCCTTTGAGGAGCTTAGAGCTTCCTTGGGTGGGGGAGAAATGACACCGACATATGAAACACTTAAGTTGTAATTCAACACAGCATATGATTAAATACCAAAATGTGTGGTTCCGACAAGAAATGCTATAGGAGTTCAGCAAAGGGGGTGATAACTCAGTGGCACTACTGTGTTCTGCCTGCAAATTGGCAAATTGCAGCAGTATTTGTGTGAAGTATTTTACACTTGTTTTTTTGGCAGCCTTAGGCCTTGACTTCCAGGCAGCATTAAGAGCCCACGACAATATTTGTACTCCATTCGCTCTAGAACTGGCTTTGTTGTTGTTTTTTGTTTTGTTTTTCAAACAGACAGAGGGAGCATCTTATTCAAACCAGAGTGCCCGAGAGAGGCCGGTAGTTTTGACAGTCGTAATCTCTTTCAAATCCAGAATAAGGAACCAACTTCGTCATCCTGTTTTTCAATCCAGCCACACTCGTCCCTCTGTGGCCGACTCTCCCTGACACCGACAGGCGGTTTAATTTGAACTTAATGTCCGTGATGGATGAGCTAGCCATAAAGGGTCAGATGAATTGATGGCTTTGGAAAACTGCAGATGAAAATCCCCACGGTCAGGACGTTGGAAAAGGAGCCCACACAGATGTAGGGGAGTTTGGACACAGATATGCTCCTAGCAAACAGGGTTCCCCAGCACTTGCTCAAAGCACTGTGCCCGAGGATGATGTTTAATGAAACTCACCAGCTTCCTGTTCTATTTTGGTCATATTCAAATTAGCACAGAGCTCAAAAACGAAGCCATGGGGCCTACATTCTTATAAATTGAAAAAAGGAGAGAAGAGGAAGAAGAGGAAGTAAAAATGTTTGTGAAGTCAGATACTCTTTCGGGGCCCACATCCCGCCCCACTCTGACCCTTTGAGGGACTCCCCACAGATGCATGCCTTTATCACTTCATTGCTTTTCAATCTTGTGATTAATGAATTTTCCACTTCTTTTCAAACTTACTGTCACTGGTTCTCTTCTACCCCTCCATTTTAACCTCAGGCCTTGAGGAGGCATAGGTAACAGATGTTTTGGTCTCCTTGATATCATCCAGTGGAATGTTTGTGGAGTTCAACACCTTTGAGAATACCATGGCCCTTGCTGTTCATTCTTTTTGTCGGGTTGCTGGCCCTTCCGGTGAGGCAGGAGTTCCCAAGTTAGCGTGACCTAGAGTGGCCAAGACATCCAGCAGAGGAGCGCTCTCCTCCTTTAGCTCCTGGTCATGTTTACTAGAGGAATTGGCCCCGGCCACAGCTTAAGATTTATTTGGGACATCTTCTGCACTGACAGACTTGGGAAAGTGGCCCTGGAAAGTGTTGCACCCATATCTTTTGATATAATTGGGTGTCTGTCTAAATAAATGTTATGTAGCAGATGGTTATGGAATGGCTTATCACATTCTTGGGAAGACTCTGCCCTTGAAATATTTATATTTAATTATCAGACTACAAAGCACAAGACAGCTTTATTTTTTTCTTAATAACAAATAGATTTCCACAGTAGGTTGATATTCTGGGGATGAACCACAAACCTAAAACCTATATAATATGTAAACCCTTTCTTGGGCTGTCCTTTGCACCAGGTTTTTCTCAAAGGGAGCCCTTTAATTTTAGAATCCACTAGAGGATGTGCTTTGGGTGTATTTGGCAACGTCATCCTGAGAGAGGCCGCGGGAGCCGAAGTTCAGCGTGTTGTCTACATTTGTTTTCTGCTCGTAGACATGATGGAAAAAACGCTCTGCTGTTGTCCTATTGCTTTTCATGGTTTTAGCATCACGTTCCCATTCTCGCTCAAAATCAATAATCCTCTGCCCAAAGCCTGGCATTCTGTACTGAAGCCAAGGATGAGAAGTTTTAACTAATGCATGTGTGGGGTGGCTGTTTTGTTGCCTTTTCCTTTTTTTGATAGGTGTACTTTTAAAGAAGATTGTTTACATCCAGAGAACTTTGAAAACTGGCTGGATATTTCATCAGGAGCAAAAAAGTGCCCTCAAATTAACCTATTTCGAAGCAGTAAAGATAAGGTAAGAGGAAAGATTTTAATTTGTCTCTACTGTCTCATTTTGCACAACTGATGCTAACTTCCTTCTGTGTGTGAAGTATCTACTAGCATTAAAGAAGCTTAGGAGAGTCCATTCATTTAGTTACTAATATTGAGTGCCTGGCAGATGCCATACACTCTGCGAGATGCTAAGGAAATAGAGAACAAGACATACGGCGAGCCTGCCCTCATGGAGTTTGTCATCTTGTAGACCTCGTTCATTGAATTTAAAGAAAAAAATGGACTATTAATGTAGTTAGAAAAAGGTACTGGTAAAAAAGGAAGAAAAAAGTTCAGACTCATGGTCAACAAGATTCCTTAAATGTGACTTAAGTGTAGAATTTTATTTTAGGGTCCTTTCCCTAATTTGTGCAGGCTTCTCCTGATAACTATCTTACATACATGGCTTTAAGCAGTACTGGGAGAGAGGGTGAGAAACCACTACAGGCAGTGATTATCGTGAGTGGGGTTCCTTGGCAAGCCAGGGGGCTCTTGTTATGGCCGTACCACCATTGGTAGCTCTTCAGCCCTATCACTGGATGAGAGAGAGGACACAATGAGCAGCATATGATTGGAGCATCTTCTGATTCACACACCATCCTTACCCTATGGGAATATGGAATTCCTGCCTTGTAATCTCAGTGGTGCTGTAAGGAGACATTTTCTCCCTAATTATAGTTCTTGTATTATGAATAATTGTACAGAATCCCCATCAGCAGCCAGTTGACCTGTCTGTCGAGCTCACTCTGTTTTATCTGAATGCCACATTAACAAGGAAATGGGCCACTTTCTCTTTTCCTGTACACTTTACCATTTCAAATAGCAAGAACCATACCACTTAAGATGATTTAACATTTAATAAAGAGAGCCAGAGCATTTAATGAGTGATAAATAATAAAAGAATAAAGCTTTCAAGTCATAACTGATCAGAACTTAAGGATTTAAAGTTATTTGGCTATTGTCACTTTCTATTGTCTTCTGGCAGGTTGGGGGGGAGCGGTGAAGAAAGAGCTTTCAAAGCCTTCATCCAAACCTCCACCAGCCCTGAGTCAGAGTGAAAAAAATGTGTGAAGAAGATGCTTAGGTATCTCAGCATAGGTGTGGTCAAAATTTTCTCTTATCAGTCTGAAAAATAGCTAACTCTGGTGCTGATAGAGAATGATAAAAAAGAAATACCAAGATGTTTGAATATACCCCGGACTCTTGATAAATGGTTAAGATTATCCAAGATTTTTGTTTTAATCATTTTGAAAATTTTAAGGGTGATACTTCAGCTAAATGTAGTAAGAGAAAGTAACTTGTTGATTATATAAAAGATGCTGCCTACACAATCTGCTTACCAATCTTTGGGTTCACTGGTATAAATTAATCACCATTTCTATCTAGTTTGGAACGTTGCAAAAAATATTTACCACCCAAATAACCACTAGTGCTTTCTTCTCTACCCCGAGTCCCACTGTGGTTTACCCAAATCCCTGTAGAACCTTCCCACACAACGATTACCTCGCTCTCCAACTTACCATCACTCTCAAGGTAAAGGAGATAAGAATTTAGTAATCTTTGAAACCAACTTTCGACTGATTATTTTAATAACGTTGATAAAACATGTCATGCCATCTCTTAGTCATATTGTTTCAAAATATTTCCTACTTTTATGGTCATCTGTGACTTACCTGAAAGTTCCAGATCTTTGTTGATTTAAATAATACCTGACCCTGACCTACAGAGATGGTAGTCTATAGCTCGGGTCCAAGAGTGTTGGCTACCTGCCCGTCACATGCCTAGTAACATTCTAGTAACTTTCTGAGTACAGAAAGACCCTGATATAATGCAGAGCCTCTGCTTCCAAGAAGCATCATCTCTTTACACAAAACAATTAGAAGATTGTATATCCTCATCCTCATTACAGAATCGGCATTAACAAGAAATAATTGGAGCAATTCCAGTTGGCTTGGAGGGATTTCGTGAGGTTTTGTTGAGCAAAAACAGCAAGATGCAGAAAAGTATGTGTGGCATGATCTTATATTGATCGAAAACTCAATATATGCTATTGATATATATAGCATATATGATATGCTATTGATATAGCATGATCTACTGTATATGTTTATGTCTCTCTATAATTATTTGCGCATGAAGAAGAATATGAAAGAATTCTTACTAGGTTGTGAACATGGGCTCTCCTGCTGGTGTGTCTGATGATGTGGTGAGAGGGAGGGCTGAGACAAGTAGGAAAAAAAAAAGAAGAAAAATGAAATTCTCACATACACAAACACACAAAAAAGGATGTGTGACATCCTGTTTTTGCATTATGCCAAAGTGTTTGTATACTTATAAAGACATTGTAACAATCAGTGAAAATGGCTAATACTGATAAAAACAGAAAAGACAGAGAAATAGAAGTATTTCCTACAAACAGCAGGACTCTTAAGGCAGAGACACTAGAAACATTTTTTTACAAATCAGAATGAAAACAAGGAATTCCACCATCACTGAGACAAACCAGCATTGTTTTTAAACTTGTGTCTAGTGCCGTAATACAAGAGACAAGTAATATAAATAACTATGGGAAAGGAATAGATTAAAAAATGTCACTATTTGCTCATCTTAAGTGGTTGTGTATCTTCCAAATCTAAATATATTAGCTTTTAAAACTATTCAAATTAGAAGTAAAAGTGCTAAATGTTCAATAAACATTCAAATATCAGTAACGTTAGGTGAGGTAAAGGAGTTAAGCTCAATTAATAAAAGATCCCATTCATTAAAAACAACCAAAACACTCAGGCATAAACTTAGAGGATGAGGTGTATACCCTCTATTTTAAAATCACTTTTACTAGAAGATACCTTTGAAGACAGCTACCACAAATAGTAATTTGGGCTATGCAATAGCTTGCTTTAAGCAATTCTTTCTAACAGTAACTAGTGGGGCAGTGGTCTATTGAGGCTGTTTATAACTCATGATAGGGAAACCTTACCAATTAAAAACATAAGCATAAATAAAAATAAAAACACACAAAGTATTTTCTTGGAAGATAGGAAAAACATCTTGAATATATCCAGACACATACTACATTTCTGGGCAGGAAGATACCATAAAAATGTCATTTCTTCCTCAACCTATTTTCTAGATTGCATGTCATCCCAGTGAAGATTTGAATAGACTTTTTCTTAAAAGTAATTTAAGATCAGCTGGAATAATATGAACTGGTCAAGGATATCCGAAATGTGTTTTGAAAAAACAAATGTATTTAAGCTAGACCATTCCCATATGATTATGAACTTGTAGATAGTGACAATAACTCAACCCATGATTCTGTTTAAAAGTAAGAATGTAGATCATGGGAATAGGCTAGAAACCTCAGAAATAAATGTAAAAATTGTAAAGATCAGATATCATAAAATAAGAGGAAACAAAAGAATTATTTCATAAAAGGTGCTGAGATAACAGACTTACAATATGGAAACAACTTAATTCACATTTTACATTAAATATAAAAATTTAAGCTAATTAAGAAGTAATAAAAAGCTAACATGTAAAAACAGAAAATAGAAATAGGTACCAGATAATTGGAAATATAATTTTCTTAGCTCTGAAGCAATGTAGTGTGTAATAACAAAGGAAAAATATTCATATACTTGACATTTAAAAATATACAACAAAAAAGATAACTACAGCACAATTGAGGGAAAACATTTGCAACAGGCAAGATATTCATCGCAAGATATTAAAACCAGGAGAAATTAAAAAGAAAAATACCAGGACACCAAAGAGTGGGCAAAAGCGTACATTCTCACAAGAGGAGGTTTAGAGAGTTAGACATAGTTAGCGGAATATGTTCACGTCACTAATTATCTAATAAATCCAAATTAAAGTGATAAGATATGCTAACACCTGGCATTGGCAATGCCAATTAGCACAGCCTTTGTGGAGAGCAATTTGGTGTTCTGTTTCATAAGTCATAAGTATATTCATTCTATTTGAAACACTAATTCCAGGCTTTGAATTCTGAAGAAGTAACTTGAAAGAAGCAAAACTGTAAGCATGTGGATGCCGTTGCAGTAGCTCTGTAGACTGAGAAACCTAGAAATAAAGAAACTGGCAATAAGCAGAATGGTTAAGTAAAATAGGGTCTGCTACCTGCTAGAATGTTATGCAGCAAGCTCTCTGGTGCGGTGGACATAACTAGCTGATTGACACTCAAACTTTCTATCTCATCTGATTCTTTGTGTCTTCATTCCCTCTCTATCCAGCTTAGCTGGAGAAGGAACTATATTCTTAGTTGGAGAACCTCGTAAGGATTCCCAAGTTGGGTTTATTAAGCCAAGGCGTCAGGTTTTATCTATACTTGCCTGGAACCCACACCCACACAAAAATACCTTCAGCTCCCTGGCTACCCTCTCCTTCCACTGCACCTGAAAAAACTTGCTATTTTCAGATCAACTCCAACCTGGCTTCTGCCCCAGGGTTCCCCTGTAACTGTTCTTGCTGAGGTCACTAGCGAACTCCTTGTAGGCATCCAGCAGACACTGTAAGTCCTCCTCTTACTTGGTCTGTTGGCTGTGTTCTTGAAACCCCCTCTCCCGTCGCCCTCCCTCCCTTGGCACACCCTGCCCATGCTTACTTCCTTCTCTCTGGTCATGCCTCAGCCTCCCTTGCTGGCTTCATCTCTCCCTGACTCTAAATACTGGAGTTGTTTTAGACCCAGTTTGGGCTCTTCTTGTCTTTAGCTCTCTACTTTGTCTATAGACCATTTTATCCACTCCCTTGTCTTTATATCTCATCTCTGTGTTCATGTCTCCTTTATCTCTAGCCCAGATTGCTCCTCTGAGTTCCAGGCCCATATCTAACTTGACCTATCTCTTGATTATTACACAAGTATCTTGAACTAAACACAACCAAAATTGAAATCTTGCATTTTTCCACCCAAAGTCTACCTCTCCCTCTGTGTGTCATATTTCAGTAGACGGTACTTCCATCCATCCGTTTTTCTTACCAAAATTCTCCATATCCACATGCCCTACCTCCGGTCCCACCCCATGCTACTTCCAAAGGGTATCCTGAATCTGTGAGTTCTTTCCGTCTCTACTGTACCATCCCAGTCTAGGCTTCTATCCCCTCTTGACGATCTCTTCATACTGTATGGCCTCCAGTTCCCAAAAGGTGACATCCCCACGTTTCTGCTAGACTATAAGCTCTTTGAGGGCAGGGACCGTAGCTATTTGGTTCACGAAAGCATTTAACACCTTGCACAGCACTCGGCACATGTTAAGAGCTTGATAAATAGGGAACAAATAAAGGCAACGATTACAGTTATGTAAAAGCTATGTCAGAACTGGAAGGAAATGTGGAAAATTTAAAACTGGTGAAAAAAGGATTTCAAAAAAAAATTCTGATTCTGTTGTTGTATTGTTTGAGTAATGAAATAAATTTAAGACCTGTATGTACACAGGATAATATGTGATCATGTGCTGAGATGTGTGTGCAGTTATAAATGCTGGGTCAAAGGCGGCAGCGTGAATGAGAGCTCAGCCATTTGTTGGAGGGGAGCTAGTGAGAGCAGTTTGGGCTTCGTTGCTATGCTCAAGCCTGCTACAGATGGTTGGACTTCAGTCCAGTTAAAGCTGGATTATAAGAACTTGCCTTCTCTGGCAAGATTTATTGGCTGAGAAACAGAATGTTTTGGAAATGGAAAGATGGAACTGACCCCAGGACTAGATTAGACATATCGAGCTGATTTGAGGACGAGAGACAACAGAGTTTGAGGCTGGCCATTGGAAAAGTCTGGGTTAAAGCCAGACGTATAACAGAAGATGGACACCTCCCAGGTTGTCTGGGGCTATAGTTCTTCATCATAGTTGGCAGGTTACCACTTCCTCTGCTCCCATCTTCCTAATGCTTAGCCCACCTTCCCACCAGATACCCTTCATGCACCTGCTGCCGAAGGGGTCCACCATTGGCATCTTAATTCCTTTAATTTCCTTTTTTTCTAACCTTCATTTTCTTTTTTCTTTTTTTAACTGAAATACAACCACATCGAACATTGTGTAAGTTTAAGATGTACAACGGGTTGGTTTGATACATTGATATATTGTCATATGATTACCACCGTAGCATTAGCTAACACCTTTATCCCATCACATTGCATTTCCTTTTTTGTGGTGGGATAATTTTCCTCTTTCAACATGAGAACTGGCTGCCTTGTTTCTTTAGATAATTCATTTGGGAAAAAGTTGCTTTAGGGGAAATTTCAAGATTTTCTCTTTGTGTCCATTTGTGTACACACACATACACACAGCCTCTCACTCCAAAACTCTGATCGTATGTTTGCCCACAAACAAAACCTTAATTTTAAGAAGACTTCATAGGTCACCTTCTTTAAAACTATAATCTAACAACAATACCATTAAGAAATAAAGAAATGAAAAATGTATCTTAGCACCTGGGAAATCAAGGTACATCTTCTTAAATAAACCCCAGCCCAAACAGAAACAAATGAAAAAAAATCATGTGTTTGGATGGGAATACTTAATATCACAAATATATAAGATCTCCTAAAACTAATGCATCTATTTAATACAATTCCAATTAAACTCAGTCTCCTCGCCCCCTTTGGGTAAGATAGTCTTAAAATTTATATGGAAGAGCAATGTCTAGGAGATGCTAAGAAAATTATGAAAATAAAGATAAATAGAGTTTGTCTTTTCGGATGTTAAATATATTTAAAATCACAGTAGTAAAAGCTTGACATAGGAATAGAAGTAAATCAATAGATAATTGGAACAGAGCGGAATTCAGACATAGATTCCAGATACATGGTAACTTAATATATGACAAAAGCGGTATTTCAGTTCAGTGGGAAAAGGAAGGTAGTTTTTAAGTAAATGGTTGTGACATAGCTGATTAGTCATCCAGATAAAAATAAAGTTGGACCCTTATACATAAAAATAAATTCCAGATAGATTACAGATAGAAGTTTAAAAAAACAAAACAAAGATCACAATTTTGTATTTGTCTATAAGCTAAAGTTTGGGAACAACTTTATAACCAACGCAAAAACATGACGACATAAAAACACATTGTGTGGGGTAAAAGATACCACACATGCAAGTTGTAAGACAAACAGATTAGGAGAAAATGTGTGTCAGAAATATGACAGATAAGGATTAATATCTATACAGAGCGCTCTTAAAAACTGATAAGGAAAATACAGAGCAGAAAAATGGTCCAAGAATATGAATATGTGATTCACAAAAGGGCGAATCAAATAGTCAAAACGTCTCTTTCTTTACATCAGCAGTCTGAGAAGTTCTCCTTCTCTGGCATGTCAAAGGGTGAGTTCACTTAAGGCTCGAGGATGGATGGAGAGGGTACCAAAACAATGACATGGTTCCTGAATCTTCTTCTTCCCCACACAGACTACAGTCACTGTGGTGGGAAGCTTCCCTCCCAAACGCTCGGAGTGGGAGTGTGTGGTGAAGAACCTGGACACAGGCAGGCAGCTCTGCAGGGGTAAAAGTCCGCCAGGCAAGACCTGCACGTGCAGCATCCCCACCAGAGCAACCTACAAAGGTAGGCAGACTCTTTGCTAGTTTTTTGTTTGAAAGTGAAGAAGGCAGGAGAGCCTTCTGAGTTCCAGATGGCCCAGGAAGCGAGTTGAATGTAAGGGAGTCTGTATAGTCCCACCCTATAGATTCAGTCTCTGCCTACCTCCTGCTCTCCCTCCTCCCAGGACTCCAGCATCCCACTCTTGTGTGAGTGGAGAATGACAAGAGGAGGGGATGCTCGAGATGACAGTGGGGTAAAGCTAGAGATCATTGGGCTGCCCCTACCCAAAGGGTTCAGATAATTCAGAGATCGGAAAAGCTGGGAATGCCCTTGATGAGATGAGAAAATAGAATGGCTAATGTTCTATCATCTTAAGATCATTGCATTCATTCAGAAAGGAAGTATTTATTGAATATCTGCTATGTGTTGGGCACTGTGCTAGGTGCTAGGGATACAGTGACCAAAAAAGACAGACCTGGTCCTTGCTTGCAGTATTTATAGCTTCTTGGGGTAGAGACAAGTAGGTGACTTGTTACAATGAAGCATGTAAATGCATAGAGAGCCATGGGAAGGAGAGGAAAGGGGCACCTAACCGAACCTGGGCGGTGGCTGAGGGAACGAGGAAAACTTCCTAGAAGATGAATAGAATGGAGCCAAAGAAAAGGGGAAAGAGCATTCCAGGCAGAGACCAACTAGTGTGGTGGCTAGAAAGAGAGAAAAAAGCTTTGTTTGAAAAGCCATAAGAGGTTATATATGGTTCAGGCAAATGGAGTAGGGACAGATGGAAAGCGATAGATACCAAAGAAGGCACAGAGTATCTGGTGTAAAGAGCCATTTACAATCAACAAATTTTTGTTGAATGAATGAATGAATGAATGAATGGCTGCAGGTGGAGGATGGCTAGAAAAGGAAAGGAGTGAGCTGTTTCGAAAAATCAGATAGAAGGAAAGCTGTTGGGGTGATCCCGGTGGGGGTGACCGTGAGAGCAGGTGCAGAGACAGGGATGGAGAGAAGTAGGCAGATTCCAGAGAATCTGGATGGTTGTGAGTTATGGTGGACTCCCTGAGGATTCAGGAATCCCCGTGGGAGAGAAAGACTAGAAGTAGGGTCACAAGATTGGTGCAGGCTTCCTAAAAAGGGGGAAAATCATGATGGAACTGAGTTTCGTGGTGAGAACTGGTGTTACTCAGTTCATCCCAAATCTCTCCAAAGGGAATTTGGTGCACCAGGCCAGAGACCCAAGCTTAAAAAATGCCTCTCAGCCACTGGGCTCTTGGTGACTGGGATCGAACAGCTTGGAAAATGATTTCAGTTCTCCATTTTTCTTTGTTTACCCTATGCAGCCTTTGAGATAGGCTTCTAGTTAATTTTGCTCATTATATTGCAGATCTTACTCATGTATAAAATCCGTTTTTCAAGTATTTGAGATCACCTTGTAAAGCTCTTAGGTCACATTTAGAGCCTCCATCCGTTGCACCCGACTTCTGCCTGCCCTTTTCTTGGAATGCCTTGCATATTCTGAGCCAGCAAACAAACTCCCATCCCACCTCGTGCATTCAGCCAGCCAGTGGTCATTGCCAAACCTCTGTCCGTGCCCTCACCCCTTTCATCAAATCCTGTTGCCCTTCTGCTTTGAAACAGTGGAGGAAGAGTCACTTCCTTCCTAACGGTCCAAGCTATTCGGGCACCCCCCACAGGCACCCCCATCTGCGTAGTCAGGTGCTACATGGAACTCAAACCACTCATGGGCTGTTTCCTTGAGTCCTGTCATTGTTGGGTTTTTCCACGTAAGCGATTTTATCTCTTGCAGAATCACTGTAAATGCTGCCAGAGCAGAGATCAAATATATTTGTTTCCTTGTGATATTTCCCAGTAGTGTTTTGTGCATGGCTGACCTGAAGAAAAGTACAACTTTTCCTGGTGTTCATCACTGAACATTGTAGATTCCACTGAAGTGTGTTTTCCCTGGGAGTCTCTCTGTGCTTCCTGTCCGTATGTCCGTTCTACTAACATTTACAACTGACGGTTATCCTTTCGTATATAACCACTTCATGTGAGCAGAATTGTATGTGGTATCCTGGCTTTCAGAATGAATTTTATCGCTGTAGAGAAGTATCTTAAGTTAAGGGTTCTCAGACTTTGGGAATCACACACTAATAAAATTTCACTATAGAAAAGTAAAGGGTGCCAACAGAGTTATGCCAACTTCTTATTTGGCTAACTGAAGCCTTTCATTTTTAAAGCCTCATCCTCTGTCTCCATTAACTCATAAAAGGAAGACAGTATCCTCCCAAATGGCTGACATTGAAAACCTCACCAAGGAGCACCGGCCCCTGGACATACTGGGCTTCGAGAGGGCCGCTCCAGGCTCTGGCACCCAGCCCCAGCTGGATACAATCATGTCATGGGGAACGTTGCCCACCACAGAGTCCCAGAGGCTCTCCAGGTGTGTTAAGTCAGGATATCGAGGAGCGTGGCTCTGGGATCTGTTTTCATCAGCTTCTCAAGTGATTCTGATACACCCCTGGGATTTGGAAACACCTTGGATAGAATATAGAAGTTAAGGACATACAGGAACAATGACATTTCTCTAATGCTGATTGAGCACGGTTTATATCTTTCTTGTTACTTTATTCTTTTGTGGGGTTTCTACCCAGTGAGTATGGTTTTCCAAAGCAAATAAGAAAACTTTTTATCATAAATTTGGCAACAGTTGACTCCAAGAGGATCATGGAACCTAGCCCATGGGAAGCACACTTAGAATCTGTTAGGCAAATATCGGCAGGGTGGATTTTGCTGAAGCTACAGGATTTTCGTCTCCCAACATTCTGGTTATCATGTTCTAGGCAGTTCTTGCTCGGTGACTTGTTTTATTCTTATGCCGTGGCCAATTACAAGCTGAGATAGTGATCCCGGGGAGAGTATGAGATGTAAATGGGCTGTAAAATGGCTTTTTCCTAGTGATTATCCATGGGAGGCTTGGAACGTGAGGTGGGCCTGGGTCTGTTTGGAGGCTTGTGCTTGCACTTTGGCTGCCTGACGCGAATGGCCCCGGGGAAGGAACCACATGCCGACTGAAATGTTAGCCAACAGCTGGTACACCCCACCCTCTGTGCAAAGGAGGCAAAAATATTTATTTTTTGCATTTACAGCTTTGCTTGACGATAGTGGGACTCCACCGTAAATGACATTTTTTTCCCCTTTGCTCCAGATGTTTTGGTTGTCAACGTGACATTCTCCGTCGGTTCTTGGCATTTATCAAAAAGATTCAACTTTACCAACTGTTCGTCATTAAGAGAGTAAGATTTTATTTGAAATTTCAATATTCTTTCATTGGTTTTAATTTATTTATTTGCTTTATGCCTCCATTTCCTCCGTAAAGAACTCTTTTGTGGAGTAGAACTTTCTAAAGGGCCTTTTGGAGCACGGCCTAACGGGAGATAGGAGGGCCCCTGAGCTAATAAGCTGGCTCGTTCAAGCCCTAATAAGTAAGGTGCAGCAGCTAAGGAACAAACAGCTGTGCTTAAGTGTTCCTACCAACAGGGAAATACTTTTTCCCCAGACCAAGAGACGCCTTGGAGTGAGTACAGCGGAGGGGGGGCGGGGGGGTGGTGGCAGCTGTTATGTTCTCCCCTGATTGGAACGGCTTTGGGAATTTGAGTCAAGGGAGAGGGTGTGAGCTCACGTGAGGCAAGGGAAATCATCAAGGAGAAGGACAAGATGAAATCTCTTCCATTGAAAGAACATGTTAATTCCCACCCAACCCACCCCCCTACCCCCGCCAACCTTTTGGTACCACCTTTGGCCATGTTGGGCTACGTACCCCCCTGAGTTAGGGCTACACCGCACTCCTTGCTTCTAAATCAGAGAGAAGACAGGGAGGAAACATGTTTCTCAGATTCCTGATTTTCCAGTTGAAAGATGGGTTGGAGGTTCCTATGGAAACAACGGGAAGCCGTATTATTAGTGATTCTATAGTTCATTCAGTCATTTGACTGACCAGCTCTGTGGGTATCGAATGCGAGTTTCTTTTGGCCTGGCCTGAGAACCACTGTTGCTAGGGGGAAAATGAATTCAGGCTTGAAACTGAGTTGGAGGGCCCCTCTACAACTAGCAGAATAGAAGCCCCTGGGCCCTGTCTTCACCACTGTGGCACTCTTAAAGAGGAATCAAATTCAGTTATTTCTAATAAATTGGATGCATTTTGGGAGGGAGAAGAAACCAAACCTGATACAGAAAGCCTCAGAAGTCTGTGGAAATAGGAAAAAGGGGGGAGAGTTGCAAAGAATTTTATAGCTTAAAGAGGGCTGAAACATAAAGCAGGTCCTTCCTCCCCAGTGTAGAGGCCAGGTGGAAGAAGTCACTGGCCCCGGGTCCCACAACTAAGTAATTACGAACCAGCTGCTCAGACCCACAGCTCCCCAGAGGGTGAGTGTGCCCTGTCCTTGAGTACTTACTTCCCTCAGTAAAGCACTCAGTACAGGACTCACACCGAAGGGTCAGCGAATGCAAATCACAAGCCTGCTTCTAGCTCACTTAGGTGGCTGGATAAACACTTCGGTGAGCCTGCGTTTCCTCCTCCCATCAAAGCTGCAGTTTTCTCTAGATCGGAGTCACAGACTGCTTTGGCATTCCTTGAAGACTCTAAAATACGAGCGGTGTCCCCGCTCCCTGCACTGGCCCTCTTGCTGTCCCCGGCCGACCTCCCATGGCTGTGTTTCCAGACCAACCTCCGTTTCTGTTTTTATTGTTCCTTCAACTTCGATTTTTCTATGACAAGCTTTTCAAGTCCTCTGCTGTTATCCTCACGTGATAGGTTATTTGATTAGTAGACACAGTTCTTCCTTAATTTGATTAAAACAAAGGGTGGCGCCCCCTCCCCTCTACTTGCCAGGCAATACTTTTGGTCTCGTCTCTTCCAGGCGGTTGAGGGGTGTTACTAGTCCAGCGAGGGAGGGCGTGCTGATCTAGGGGTGGAGACCGCGAGATCAGTCTCCAGAGGGAAACTTCCCTGAAGGTAGACAAATAGCAGAACCCGATTCAGAAACAGAGTCGGTGGGTTCCTGTTATCTACCAGCTTGGCAGGTGACCCCAGCTTCCGGTTTCCATGGCAACAGCCCTGTAGGTGTGGTGATGGTCCATCAGCCCCGGGGGCTGCCTAGAGCAGGGCACAAATTCCGTGCTCTAGCCCCAGCCTCAGAGGACTGTCCTCTCTCCCCTGGGTTCATCAGTCTGTCCAGGGCTTTGGTGGTGGTTGTTGTTTCCCCATCTTTTAAACGCACACCACATCACAGAGGGAAATTCTAGGATATGAACATTTTCCTAAAAATGCAGGAATTAAGTTGGATTTCCGTGTTGCCAGATGCCCAGTATGTATTGGAACTGGCTGTGCTTGGTGTAAAAGTGAGAGAAGGTGTATCCACCCCTTCACAGCTTGTGACCCTTCTGATTACAAGCGAAACCAGGTAAAGTACCATTTTTGTTATTATAAGGTTTTACCAAAAATAAATGTTTGTGGCCACCCAGTCCCAGTCTGTCTTTTGTGTTTGCTTCAAGCTCTAAATTTCCCATCTGTTTGGATGTTGAAGGGCTGTTCTTCATTTCAGGAACACTGTCAGGTTGCTGTTGAGAAATGGACACCACCCAAGACAGCAGGAGGAAGATTCATGGAGAATAAGAGTAATAGGACCCATCAGGGCTTGCAGGTCAGACCCTGGTTTTGGACTCAGAATGGAAAAAATTCCCCTTTTAAATGACAATAACAACTCCTCCTACTTTGGGTTCCTTTTAAAAATTCCTTGTTTTACTTTCTACCCAAATTCCCTTTTTTACCTTTGATTTTTAACCAAGTTCCACATAATTGGCTCAATACATGAAAGGCTGCACACTCACATAAAAGAAATTAAAATTCAGTAATTATGAAAAATGATATCGTTCCAGTAGGAGTAAAATTTTCAAGGTGACTTCACGGCTCACTCTGGAGGAGTTAGAAGGAAGCAGATAGCACCCGGCACTGAGGGGATTTCAGTTTGAACCTTGCATTGCGATGGCGTTCCTGGGGGTTACGTGGGGTGAGGGGAGTCTATGCAAAGTATACAAACTCCTTCAGATTGCCTCTCTTTACTTTGTGGAGGTGATCTGACCCATAGTTAATAGTGCCATAGCAAAGCGTTGTGTCTTATGAGATATATATATATATATATATATATATGTTTATTTATGTTTATTTATTTATTTAATTTCTCTCCATTTCCTCAAAATTTTCTTCATGAAAAAATATTTTCTATGAAATTTCCTTGGAAATTCCTCTGATTTTCTTCATAGCACAGCACCAAGTTCAACCAACAGACATGTTTGAAAAGAAAGGATATGACAATCTAAACGTTCTGGGCAAAGAATAGTGGCTGTGTTGGGAGTGGCTGGCTTCACTGAGCCAACAAGACTTAATTGAGCAGGTACTATGTGGTGACAAAAAAGGATAGGTTCTTGCTCTTATTAATCTAGCAGGAGCAGACAAATTAAAACACAACATTTCTTTTTCTAAAAAAAAAGTCTCCAAAAAAATAAAAAATAAAAAAAGTCTCCGTTTTCTATTTCATGATTAATCTATGGTTTTGATTTATCCATTTGCTGGATAAATATTATCTACTTAAATAGGTCAAGTGCCAATATGGATCAGTAGCACATTTTTCATCGCTCATGAAAAGTTGATAGTAACTTTAGGTGAATAACTAACAGGCAGAGGGAATGTGAATCAAAATGGATTATGAAGTTAATTAAAGGTGTTAGAAAGGCTTGGTGGGCCGATATCTCCAGATTGAAGTCTTCGAGGTTTTATTAAGGGATGGGCTAGTACTCTTCTCTTCCCTTAGCTTATAAAACTAAGACATAATGACAGGTATTTGGATCAAGGAGGCAGTGGCTTTTTAAAATAATCAAATTTCTCTTTTGTTGTTGTTTTAGTTGTTTCTTTTCAATTTTAGTAAGGTACACCTAACAAAATTTACCACCTTTGCCACTTCTTTTTTTTAATAATTTTTTATTGTTATGTTAATCACCATACATTACATCATTAGTTTTTGATGCAGTGTTCCATGATTCATTGTTTGTGCATAAACCTTTGCCACTTCTAAACGTATGGTTCAGAAGTGTTAAGGACATGCACACTGTTGTGCAACCATCCCCACATTCCATCTCCAGAACACATTTCATCTTGCAAAACTGAAACTTTGTACCCATTAAAAAATAACTTCCCGTTTTCTTTTCTTTTTTTTTTTTTTTAAGATTTTATTTATTTTTTCATGAGAGACACACAGAGAAAGAGAGAGAGAGAGAGAGAGAGAGAGAGGCAGAGGGTGAAGCAGGCTCCCAGGGAGCAGGGAGCCCGATGAGGGACTCGATCCCAGGACTCTGGGATCATGACCTGAGCCGAAGGCAGACGCTCAACCATCTGAGCCACCCAGGCGCCGTTTTCTATCCCCTCCCCTCCCCCTCCCTGCCAGTCCCTGACAGCCACCATTCTACTTCCTGTCTCTACGAATTTGGTTACACTAGGTACTTCATCTAAGCGGAATCATATAGGAATTGTCTTTTTGTGATTGACTTATTTCATTTAACATAATGTCCTCAAGGTTCATCCATATTATTAGCATGGGACACAATTTCCTCCCTCTTGAAGGCTGAAAAATATTCCACTATATGCATATACTACATTTTGTTTATCCATTCATCTGTGGATGGACACTTGGGTTGCTTCTACCTTTTGGCTATTGTAAATAATGCTACTATAAACATGAGTGTACAGATTGAGGGCCCTATTTTCAATCCTTGTGGGTATATATCCAAAAGTGGAATTGCCAAATCATATGGTAATCCTGTTTTTAACTTGGGGGGGAATGTCATGCTGTTTTTCATAGTGTCCTGCCATGTTACATTCCCACCAACACTGTATAAGCCTCCCAATTTCTCCACATCCTTCCAACTCTTGTTATTTTTGTGGTTGTTTTTATGGTAGCCATCCTAAGTGGGTGTAAGGTGGTATTTCATTATGGATTTGAGTTTCTTTTCCCTAAAGATTAGTGATATTGAGCATCTTTTATTGTGCTTGTTGGCCATTTGTGTATCTTCTTTGGAGAAATGTCTATTCAAGTCCTTTGCCCATTTTTTAATCAGGTTGTTTGTTGTTGTTGATTTATGGTTCTTTATATATTCTGGATATCAACCCTTTATCAGATACATATTTACAAATATTTTCTCCCATTCCATAGGTTGCCTTTTCAATCTGTTGATTGTATCCTTTGATGCACAGAAGTTCTTAACTTTGATGAAGTCCAGTTTTTCTTTTTTTTTTTTTTTATTTTGTTGCCTGTGCTTTGGGTGTCCTATCCAAGAAATCATTGCCAAATCCAATGTCATGAAGCTTTTCACCCATGTTTTCTTCTAAGAGTTTTGTAGTTTTAATTCTTACATTTAGATCTTTAGTCCATTTTGAGTTAATTTTCATATATGGCATAAAGTAAGGGTCCACCTTCATTCTTTTCCATGTGGATATCCAGTTTTCCCAACATCACTTGTTGAAAAGACTATCCTTTTCCCATTTAATGGCGTTGGCACCCTTATCAAAAATCATTTGACCAGATATGCAAGGGTTTACTTCTGGCTGTCTGTTCTGTTCCACTGGTCTACATGTCTGTCTTTATACCCACATCACACTGTTTTGGTTACTATAGCTTTGTAATAAGGTTTGAAATCAAAGTGTGAGTCCTTCCACTTTGTTCATCTTTTTCAAGACTGGGAAAAAGTTAAGCTTTTATTTTGAGGTAGTTGTAGATTACATGTACTTGTAAGAAAATAAGACAGAGAGATCTTTTGCCCAGTTTCCCCCAATAGTAACGTCTTGCAAAACCATCACACAATATCAAAACCAAGGTACTGACAATGACAAGAGTCAAGATACAGAACAGCTCTATCACCACACCCCCTTTGCTCCTCCCTCCTACTCCCCATTTCTGACCCCTGGCATCTACTAATCTGTTCTCCATTTCTATAATTTTATAATTGCAAGGAGTCTATATAAATGGAATCATTCAGACATGCCCTTTTGGGATTGGCCTTTTTAACTCAACATAATTCTCTGGAAATTCATCCAAGTTCTTCTGCAGATCAATAGTGTGTTCCTTTTTATTGCTGAGTGGTAGTCCAGGCAATGAGTTTTAAAAATTTCTTTTATGTTAGTGTCTTCCTGTGCCTTTTGACCTTTGACACTGGGTGGTTAAAAGAACTGGCTGGGTTACCAAGTGGGCAGGACAAGGCTGAACATAACCAAAAGCCCAGGCCTGTCTCCAGTGCTGCTGTGTGAATGACCCTTCTTAGTTTGGAGAAAGGTATTTTGTTGATACTGGAAGGTTTTCTTTAAATATGTGGCTCAAAACAGAATCTTGATTTTGGTTCATAGCGAGTGGTATAGTATTACTGGTCACAGGAGGGATTTCTCATGCTCTGGCGTGTACTGCTATCTTTCATTATCATGTGGATGTGTAACTTCACGTTTCCAGTTTGGGTCCTGTGTTGGCCTTGAATGAAGTACTGAACACTTTTCCTAGCAGAGAAGGCACTGAGAGCTCTCCCTCAGTGCATCTTCCCACATCACCCATGTATCGAGTGCTTCCTGCGTGCCAGGGGCTAGGATGGTGCAGACATACTGGGATAGGAATGGTGCAGACATGCTTTTAGGCTTCATGATGCTGAGCTGGAGTTGATTCTAACTACAGGTGTATATTGAGCACCTAATCGATGCCATTATATTGAGCTTTGTGGCCACAATGAGGACACAAATGAATCCGGCACATGTCTTGCCATCAGCCTCAAGAATCTTGTACATGAGTACATAAGTAAGAATATAAGATAAAAAATATTAACATAGGAGAAGTACCAGAAAGTACACAATTTCAGAGAGCCTGGCTTGTTCCCGCAGCCTCGGCTTAGTCATTCCTGTTTATTTAAGCCCAGTGCCTGGCGGCTAAAAACACTTAATCAGTGTGGTTGGTTAAGGTTTTGATGGATGGATGGATTGATAGACAGAGACGGCATTGCAGCCAACAGTTGAGGGACGAGACTCATGGAGACAGAGGAGTGGGTATTCTGAGCAGAGGGGCTAGTATTAGCAAAAGATAGTGGGTCACCAGAAAATTTCAGGTCATCCATACCTGAGGTCCAGGAGACCCAAGTAATTCAGTCTGGCTGGAGCAGAAGGGTGCAGGAGATCCTGGGACACAGGGCTGCCATAACCCTGTAGTCGGCATCTGTGGGGCCTTACACACCAGGCCGAGGAGCTTGGGTTTTGTTCTTCAGCAGCCACAGAATGCTCCTCGAGACATTTATCTTTTAAGGTGCGAATTTGCTCATCTAAGGACGTGGCACTTAGGAGACAAGAGTTTCTGGTGTCTTGGGTTGGGCACATTGCCCTCAAGCTGTTTCATGCCCCTATCCCCAGTCCCTTTAGCCCAACTACAGGTATGTGTTGTCATTTATCGGGGAGGGGGCTGATTAAGGAAAGGCACCACCAAAACAGGGAAGTGAACTCAAAAGCCCATGTTTGCCCTTTGGGAGAGAAGTATTTTCAGCTATAGAGGCCAGTCTCTCTCAGACGGTTGGCCCTGTGGCCCCGCGCTCACCTCTCTTCCTTTTCTTAACAGTCTTCCACCTG